AACCTTTTTCAAAATCTTCTTGACAACGGTTCAATAGATACTTTCTAAACAAAGTTCCACCCATAACCAATTTTCCATCATTGTTTTTTACATTTTCATCAGTAATCTCTGGATCAATCATTTCCATCATTTTTCTGCAAAGTTGGGCATACATTTGACTAAAGTTGATTTCGTCACATGATTTTTCAAATATCAGCCGAATAATTTCTCTGAGGATGCGACCATCTTTTTCGAATTTTGATTTATTGGCATATTCAATTATTTGATCCGAAATAATGTCGAATTTCTCCAATGTTAACTTATTTAATAATGCCTTCACTTTGCGTTGAACCACATCCATTGGTATTTGATCTTCGGAGGCTTTAGGTGTAGTTCCTATGACACGTGTAGGAGGAACCCATCTGTCCTTAGTTTGTTCAAGCGGCTGTATAGGTTCTACATTTGTGTTTGGTCCTTGCAGATTTTGTTGATTACCTTTTCTTCTATTCATACTATCCATTCTTTTACCGCCACCTCCACTTGAATTACGTCCTGAACCCATTTGGTTATGACTACTTGCATTTGATAAAGAGGGCGGAAACATAGCACTCCCGCTGCTAGAACGAGGCCCAAGTGATGCAGATCTATTGTATCCGCTGGAATTTGAGCTTGCTCTATTAATATTGCTAGTGGACATGTTGAAACGCTCTTCGCTATTTTTTCCAGGAAGTTTAAATTCTCCCATTGGTGGTTGACTTGAATTGTTTTTATGTTGAATACCACTACGCATAGCATTAGTCATAGCACGATGATTACTATTCTTTTTATTATCTTTTGGTTCATCTCTTCCAATAGCATCTAATACTGGTGGTAGGTTATCAGGTCTTTCTTTACAAACATCCATAAATTGCATCAAAAAGCCTCGTTCGTATTTGAATTTTCCTGGTGTAGAATTTGAATTCAATTCAGGATTTGGTGATTTAATGTGTGATGGGTAAGTAACAGAGCTCAAATCATCAATAATACGAGCACTACCAAGAGGATTAGGTATAGATGGAGCAGATGTTGTACGAGATAGGTCTAAAGGATCCGGTTTATTTTTCTTATCATGTTTTTTCTCTTCTCTTTTAATACTAGTTTTCTCGAATTGTTCTTCAAGCTTCTTCTTTCTTTCTGATTCCTGTCTATCTTTTTCCTCTTTTGCTTTCCTTTCGGCGGCTTCTTTGACTTTAAGTTCTTCTCCCAATTTACGTTCTCTCTCTATTCTTTCTTGATCTTCTTTTGCTTTTTGCTCTTTTTCCTCTCTTTCTTTTCTTTCAGCTTCCTCTCTAGCTCTTCTTTCTTCTTCCAACTTACATTTTCTTTCATGCTCTTCCTTTGCTTTACGTTCTTGTTCTTCTCTTTCAGCTTCTTCTTTAGCTCTCTTTTGTTCTTCTAATATGCGTTCTCTTTCGATTCTTTCAGCTTCTTCTCTTTCTCTTTGCTCTTTTTCCTCTCTTTCTTTCCTCTCTTTTTCCTCTTTGGCTTTTCTTTCCTCTTCTAATATACGTTCCCTTTCTTGTTTCTCCTCCCTTTCTTTTCGCTCTTTTTCCTCTTTTTCTTTTCGTTCTTGTTCCTCTTTGGCTTTACGTTCTTCTTCCAATTTGCGTTGCATTCTTTCCTGCTCCTCTCTCTCTTTTCGCTCTTTTTCCTCTCTCTCCTTTCTCTCTTTCTCTTCCTTAACTTTTCTTTCTTCCTCTAATTTTTTCTCTCTTTCCATCCTTTCAGTTTCCTCTCTAACTTTACGTTCATGTTCTTCCTTCTCTTTTTTCACTAGGTCTTCCTTAAATTTATCTGCAGGAGCAACTATTTTAACTGCTTTAGATTCTTTTTTATCATCAGGAATGACTTGAATTTTAACTTTATCTATTTCACCAGTTTTTTTTGTTTCAGAAATGTTTGGTATAGAGATTTCATCTTTCTTTGGTGTTTTTAGTGCAGTAAGATTTAGAGGTCGATTATCATTAGGATTGATTATTTGAATCGCTTTACTTTGTTTTTGAGGATTAAATTGAGATTGATTTTGAGTAGAAATATGTGGTTGAGAAACCGGCATGGGAGGTCGTTGTTGAGCAACATAAGGAGAAGGCATTTGGCTCATTTGATTCATTTGATTCATTGGGTTCATAGCGTTCATTGGGTTCATATATATCGGTGGAGTGTAATAGTACGGTTGCATATCATAATTCGGCTAATAAATATAAAGAAATTATTTTTTAAAAAACCCCATAATAAAAAAATTAGTTATTAAAAATATATATATATATATAACAAGTAAATTGTTTTAATTAATAATAATTTCTTATACATACACGAAAAAAAATTGGATAGTGTTGTGGAATTTGAGGTTGAGCAGGAACTTGTGGAGGCTGAGAGACATTTATATGAGCTGATGAAGTAATAGGAACTTGTGTTCCGGATTTATCTCTTGATCTAGGAGCAAATTGACTAGATACGTTTTGTCCGGGACCTGAACCCATTCCACCAGATTTATGATGAGGATTTTGTCTATGATGAGTATTATAACTATGTTGATTTGTATGGTTATGATTGGAATGGTGTAGTAGAGAAGGGGTATGATATGATTGGATTTGTCCATCATTGGAGGATACTGTTGAAGAAGCTGAATCCTTACGATGATGAGTAGGAAGAGAATGTTGATGTGAGGCAGGTATAGATTGTTGTTGCACTATAGGAGCTGGTTGAGGACGAGTAGTTAAATTGGAAGGTTGTTGAGTTGATTGTTGATTTATTCTACCATTACCTAAATCTTGATGAGCAAGCTGCGGAGGAGCAGATTGAGTTCTATGTATTTCATTCTGTATACGGGAATTTATATTTTTAGATGCATCTGAGGAAATTCCACTAGATGCGGTAGCAACATTAACAGAACTTTGTTGTATTGGGTTTTGTTGTACCTATATTATTATATAATAACAATGAATGATGAAATGAAAATATTTAAAATTAATGTTTGAATAGAAAATTTTTTATCAAGGTTGACAAAAAACGTTCGAAAGAATACCAGTTCTTCTGAAGATCCCTGTGCTTTCACCGTTCCAAAAATAGTATTTACATTTTTTGGTAATGGTGAGGGCAAGGCACCACCACTTAAAATAGGGGGGTATTGAATGTTTTGAATGGGAGAGGAGGACTGTGAGATATTTGTAGGAATATTTATTGACCCGAATTGAATTGGAGTTACTAAGAAAAATAAAACAGAAATAATATTTTATGAGGTTTGTAATATATAGCAAGCATTATTAATGTCAGAAGTTTCAAAAAAATACCAACGATTAAAGGGTAATTTTAATATATATATTTATAATAATAGTTATAGGCATAATGATAAATAATAAAATACCAGGTAAGTTCAAATTACTTATATTCTTCGGTAAACTCATTAGTTTCTTTTTTGGATGAGACGATTTAACTACTGTTGAACTTGTATTGTTATTTCCATTGCTTAAAGACGAATTAAATTGTGTCGTTTGTAATTTTTGTTGTGAAGCAATTGATTTTCCGTTAACAGATGAATTAAAATTGGTGGAAGTTAAAGCAACAGCAGAGTGTTGATTTTGTTGTGTTTGCTGATGCATTGAAATATGCTGGTTCTTCTGATGGAGTGGGTTATGATTTAGAGAATTTGGTTTTGGTTGTTGCTGCGCTGCAGCTTGTGCGTAATTATTAGGTTTTTGAGAATTATTAGTTGAACTTTTATTCATTATAAACATCATAGATAAAATCTAAAATGGAAGAAAATTAATTTTTTTAAAATTAATTTTTTTTTTTGTGATAAAGTCAAATTTTTATAAATAAAAAATTTTTTTTCTTTCACCATTTATCAATTACATAATATATAAAAATTGAGCCGCAACCGCCGATCTTCTACTAAAATTATTGTTAAAATGTGCTGCGTGCATTGTAAACTAAAATAGGCCACAATTATTTTAGGGGTAATAATATTATATACAGAAAGGTTCTTTTTATGAAATATACAAACCTACGTGACAAATAAAAATTAATTCTTAGAGTTGGTAAATACTCTGTAATTCCTGCCCAGCCCACAAATTTAATCATCACATCATTGACAAATGTCACTTAGGTTTTACAAAATTTTGAGCTACAATTTAGTTTCTTTTTTTGTAGAATGAGTTGCCATTTTTGGTATGGTTCTGTATATTCTATAAAAAGAACCTTTCTGTATATATATATTATGGGGGTTTTCTAGCAAAAACCGTTGGGGTGTGCAACATTCTAAGAAAATCAAAAACTAATTCAGTCAGGATTATTACCAAATATGGAATTTTCAAATATTGTAAGGATAGACAATCTAGAAATCTTTTAGAAAAAAAAAAATGATTGGCTAATTTTATACAGATCTTTTCTTTGAAAAAAATTGATAAATAAAATAATACTTTTTTATGAAGAAAACGTGGCAAAGGCTTTATTAAATGGTCATATAACCTCCAAAATTTATGTATTATGTTTATTTTTAACTGCTTTATGAATCTATCAAAAAATAACCAATAGCTTCAAATTATAATCATAAAATTACCATAAAAACACAATAACTTTTTTCATAATACTGATGAAATAAACGTTTGAGTTATCAATCAACCTGTCATTCATTCTCATTCATCAGGAATCTTGTTATTAAAATTAATGAAATTAATAAAATTACAGTGAACCCTCCCTAAGTGCACCCTCTCTAAATGCATGCACTATGTATACCCTCCATAAATGCATGGCCCATCTCATCCCCAAGCTTATAGAGAGCTTATAAAATCACCCTCCATAAATGCACACTCACAAGAAATAGCACTATGTTCCCAAGGGGGTGCACTTATAGAGGGTTCACTGTAATTTTATTTGAGATAAATTAATATTTATTAAAGTTAATATCTATCACATTACAATCCTATATAGATAGCTAAAACTAATGATAAATACTTGCATGCTATTGGAGATGTACCAACAAGATGGAGTAGTTCTTTTTAGCTTGGGAGCAGATTTATTTATTAAAAGATGCTATATATGCAGCATTAGATATTTTATTCAAAAACAGAAAAAATAATCTTCAAATTAGAAAAGATTATAATCGTCTTAATAAAATACTTCTTGAAGAAGATGAGTGGGATTTTATGCTGGAAATGATTAACATATTAGGACCATTTTACAAATCAACGCTAATGTTGGGAGCTAGCAATTATGTAACAATTAGTTTGATGTATCCTGTGATTGAAGCTTTAAAAGAAAAATTCAAAGTAGATGAATATTGTGATGAACCAATTCTTGAATCATCAGAAACTGTATTTGATGAAATAGAAGTTGAAGAAGACAATGATGATGATAATAACAGTAATGGTAATAGCAGTAAAGATAAATCAAAAAAGAAAAAAATCAATATTAATAAACCTCAAGACATGTATAGGTTAGCAGATCAAGTTAGATACAACCTACATAAATATTTAAATTTTTATTGGCCTAATCTACCTGTAGAAGAATTAGTTGCATGTGTTTTAGACCCAAGGGTTAAGAAGCAATCAGTTGTTTTAAAGTACTTGATGATATAGAATTGCCCCTATTGACAACAAAGAAAGATTCATATATA